AAAAAACTGTTAGAAAATCAGAATCTTTTTGGTATAAATTTTACTATGGAACAATGGCAAAGAAAAATAGACACAATTTTTAATAAATTAATTAGTTATGAGCAAGAATTTGGTGTTGAACATGTTGATTTAGCTATTAAAGAATATATTGACTCTGCACTATTTGTATTATCTCTGAACGTTGTAATTCTTGAACCGGGAGAAGCTCCAAATATGAATGAGTATGTTCACATAGCAGCAAATATGTTCTTAAAAGACTTTGATTGTATGGAGAGTAATATATTAAATTTAGCATGTAATAAAGCAATTTATCATCACATAAAAGATTATAAAAATGAAAATCAAATAGTGTATTGTATTTTAGAACAATAGTATACCAATAAAGCAATATGTAGTGCATTAATTTCTGGTTTTTTAGACTATGAACTTTTTGAACTTGCTTCATGTCTTGGCATCAAATTTCTTGATAAACTTGAACAAATTGCTGATTATCAAGCAACATTTCGAGTACTTGAGCTTATTTGGATAGCAGTTAGAGTTGCGATTCATCTATACATTCAGAATAAACAAATTTCTATTAATAATATTCCCACTGAAAATAATAATTTGCTAAAAGTATAATATAATTTTTATCAATAGGTTGGTTATTTAAAATTGCATAAGCTTGGTATTCATATGGCAAACTTCAATTTACAGATATATAGCTTGATGGTATTTGCTTCTTTATTTTCTGTAACTGGAAGAATAAGATATACTAGTGATTTAAGCCGGCTAAGGCAGCCGCGGCTAAGCTGGCTTGGCTGGCTAAGCCAGCCAATGTAATATGTTTGGCTGGCTAATGTAGCTAAAAATTAGTATATAGTGGATTCCGGTAAATTCTAAAAAGTAAGCATAAAATATAAGCAAAATTTTTGAAAAGTTTACGAAATTTTCCAGAAGTATAGCCATTAGCTAGCCAATTAGCCGATATCTTAGTCGGCTGGCTTAGCCAGCCAACTAAAACCTTACGGCTTAAATCACTAAGATATACTAAATCTGTGACACGATTCTTGTCTGATCTTCAAAAAATCTACAGTTTCTTCAAACTCTTTGAACAATACCCTCAGTCAATTTAACCCAAAAAGGGTATTATTTTGCTTTTAATGAAGCTCTAAAAACATTTGGAGTAAAATTTGTAAAAGAAAATATGACTAGATACACAACTAATTTAGATAATTTAAAACAAAACATTAAAGCAGAACAGTCCAAGCACGAATGACTTAACCTCTTGATTTCAGAATTTTCAGAAGATCATTCAGTAAGTAGAAGTTTACAATCTATTAAAAATCACCAAGAAGCTCTTTGGAAATTAATTAATGAGCTCAAATTAGCATTTAGCAATATACAACCAGAATCACATACTTTATTCGCAGAAACTACTACACAATTGACAGAGGATGGTTACCAACAAATATTTACTTGTTATCAAATAGGAATTGAAAGAATGATTAATATTGTTGAATATAATATTCTTCATACTACTACTTAGATAATAGAAAGACAAAGTAAGTGTATACTAATGCCTATAAAAGTAATAGAAATAAAGAAGGGTAAAAAAGAAAAAGCAAAAAAAGTGAAAGTGATAAACAGTAATTCTGTACAAACCACAGATCCTGTACAATCATCATCCTCAACAAATCCTGTACAAATTTCTTCATCGGTAAAGCGTGCAAGACACAACCCTTCGAATGAAGAAGAGGAGCTTTTGAAACAACTTGAAGAATTTGAAAACTCTGCTGAATTACCAAATAAAGTCATCAATGAACTAGCGGAAGCATTGTCTCTGCATACTGATCATTGGATACCAAAAAGAATTAAAGATCGGTGGTATAATCGATATAAAAGATCGAAAAAATAAGAAAAAAAAAACATAAATTTGAAATAAAGGACACATAGCTTTCATTTAATACAGTCAGACTTTTCTAAATGCACCTTCTATAAATGCACACTCTCTCTACATGCACACTCGAATTCTGGCCAAATGTATATTTAACTTTATATACATTTTTTTCTTATTATTTAAATGTATGTTGTTATAGTATCAAGAGCGTATACTTAGAGAAGTTTGACTATACTATATATATAGACTTTTTTTTTTTGTTCTAAGAATATTCTTATTTAATAAAAAATCTAATTAAAAAAAAAAAAAAAATTAATAAATTTTAATAAAATTGTAAATGAATTAGCAATTGATATGATCTATATATCACAAATCAGTTCCACATCCTATATTTATAATATACTAGCACCTGAAAGTAAAGGTTTGCAGAAAGTCCTCACCTAGACACAACTAATAAACTACTTTTCAAGCAAACTGACAACTAAACTAACTCACGAAGACAAAATGAATCAGCAATTAATATGAATCTGCATATCACAAAACAGTACCTCTTGATTTTACTCACCATGTTTATAATGCACTAGCACTTGAAGGTAAAGGTTTGCAGAAAGCTCTCACTTAGATGCAATTAATAAACTTCTTTTCAAGCCAGTACCTTGCAAACTGACAACTAATCTAACTTACGAAGACAGAATGGTTGCCTATCTTTGAAGGCATTGAACTTTGTAAGAAGTTGTTAGTTTTTTATGCAATTTATACTGTTTGATTCGTAAAAACCTCAGCAATGTTTTTGTTTTAATAAGCATTATTTATTATATTTAAAACTTGTACCAAATTTTTTAAAAATGCAATATGTTGATTTATGTGATCTACAAAAATCATATGATAAAATTTTACATGTGACAAATCATGTTACTGATAGTAAATAATAGTTTTGCAGTAGTTAAATAAATAAATATTGCACAAATTATGTAATACTGGAATTATTATAAAAGGATATGCTGTAAAAAAAAAAGTTCTTCTGTTACATAGCAAGAGAAAAACTTATAGCGATACATATTAGAAGAGAATCTTTAAAGTTACTATATTTGCGTCACACATCATATCTTGGTAAAATATCAATGGTACTTTCAAGTTAGGATGTGTAACACATACATACATACGTACTGTGAGAACCCCATAACACTTGTTACACACATCAAAAAATGAAAGTTAACCACTTTTATAGTATGTATGAATTTTGCTTCAGGGTTCGATCCAAATTCATAAAGACTATTCTGAACTAAAATTTGAATTGAAGCATTAGGCCATTAGGACTAGTCTTTTTTTTTTTTTTGTTGTTGTGAAGCAATAGGTAACTATATTCTTTTTTTACAGATAACAATTACATTTGGAGTCAGAATGAAGAAATCTATCAAGGTAGTGGCATTTTATTAATAAGTACACTACAGAATGTATGAACTAATATGGTAATTGTTTAGGGTCAGAATAGTCTGAATAGTCTGAATACTTGGAATACTTTAAAAATATTCCACTTATAAATTCTGTTTCAGATTTGGAACTAGGTAAAGTCAAAGGTCGAAATTTAGATATTGTGATGAACTATCTCAGATTATGTTAAAGCCCATTTTACTTTTAGGTATTACTTTGGATTTGGAACTAGAAATTCTTGAACCTACTGAAAATTCTTTAATTCAATCGGCAGAATTGATAGAACTAGATGGGTTTGAAACTTCGGATCAAGGTATATTTAGTTTTTAGATTGCCTTTTTTCTAAATTTTGCTTTCGAATTAGAATTAGAGGCTGATATACTACATATATTTGTTAATAGAACCAGATGAATTTGAACTATTGAATCAAAGTAGATTTCATTTTAGATTTGGAATTTGATGGTTTCAAGGCTAAAAAAAAAAAAAAAATTATGTTTATTAAGATAAGCTGCTTTTTTAATAGGTCCTTTAATTGGGTCAGAATTTAAAAATCTTAATTCTACAGAACTTTTCTTGTTAACTGAACCAGTAGAATTGGTTACTGGATTATATTTTCCCTCTTGGTTAATTGCTGAACATTATGTTAAAGAGCATGGGCAGCAAAGAGGATTTGCTATCAATTGTTATCAAGTTAGTTATCACAAAAACTCTAATCTATCTAATTGAATTGTAAAAAAAAAACACTTTCTTGTAAGCATGCTGGAATTCATAAGCCCAAGAAAAGAAAACTATTGGATCAACAACATAATAAAAGGTTAAAAAAAACAAATTGCAAGTAGCATGTTAATTTATCTAAGCCTGACAATAGCAGTTTTGTACATGTAACTTTTGTACAATTAGAATATAACTATGAATTGTCAGTTGATAATGCAAAATTTGTCACAAGATTCAGAAAATTTGATCAGTCAATATTAGCAAAAATTGAGTATGCAGTCATATATGGATAGTGTGATACACACACTATAAGAAATTTATTGCAACTACTGTTTTCTGATCAGCTTTTTCTAACTTAGGATCTTTCTAATACTATTCAGAAAATTAAACATGACAGACAAATTACAGGATCTAATGCATCTCACTTGTTAAAATTTTTATCTAATCAACAAAAAGAGGAGCCATTGATATTTGTACATTTATTAATAAACACAGATAGTGATAAATTATGTAGCATATTTTGAATAACTGCAAATCAGATTGAGCTATGGTCACATTATTCAGATATTATACTTCACAACAATACTTCTCAAACCAACAAATATAATTATCCATTGTTACTGTTTATAATTGTTGACAATAATAAAAAGTCACACTTAGGTGCTCAGACCTTTTTAAATGATGGAAAGTCATATTTAGATGCTCAGACTTTTTTAAATAATGAAAGTCAGAAAAGTTATAAATAAATCTTACAACAAATATTGGATACTATAGGTTGTGATCTGAAAGTTATATTAACTGATATGGATCCAGCAATGGAGGCTGCATGTAAGGTGGTTTACAAAAATACTTATCATATACATTGCATCTGGTACATGTCTCAAAATTTACCAAAATGACTCAAAGCCAAGTTCAGAACTGCAAATTTCAAGCAATTTATTTGTAATTTCTGGAAAATGTATAATGTATTATGTATAGATGTTTTTGAGCAACAATTTCAAGCTCTATTAAAAACTTACCCTAGTATTAATAGATATTTGCAAGATCCACTTTATTTAACACAGCATTCTTGGGCTCATACATATATAAGCTATATATTTACTGCTAGCATACAGTCAACACAATATGTTGAATCAATCAATATGATTATCTACAAAGCTGTTTCTTCTAGTTCAACTATGTCAGATATAGTTGAAGCTTTGGATTCTTGAATGCAAAAAGAGGCAGTAAATAAAGATTTTTTGGCATGGAAATACAAATTGATAACATATTATTAGCCATTTGTTGTGGATAATTTTTTTAGTAAAATTAATAAAACAATAAAAAAATACTTTTCACTACAAATCATTGCAGAAATTCATAAACAAATATGTAAATTAGTGCTGTATAAGTATGAGAAGTTACTTGTTAAAGAAGCTTTTAAATTTACTAATGATTAGTTAGTAAATACTAATTGGTAGTTATGAAATTAGTTAGCTATAATTAATATTTCTGTTTTATTTTAGGATCAAAATGAATCATATGAAAATCCAACTCTAACTGATAATTCAGAAAATATCGACAATATTGAAGATTACTATAATCATTGGCAAATATATTTAAAATCGCTATTAAATTCAGTTGAGAGAGATTTGGTTAAAGAAATATGGTGAATTATTTCTTATATGATACCAAGTTCATATCAGCATATTATAATACTTAACAATAGAACTCATTTATACACGTGTTTATTATTAGTTTTTAATAGATTGTTTGTTACCATTATTTCAAGTTAATGATTGAAAGTCTAAATGCTTTGTTTCACCCAATGCAAATGCCAACAAGATGGCTTCAAGATAAAGTCTGAACTTTTGTTGATTCTATTTTTAAAAAACTATTTATTGAAACATTATCAAAAAATTTAAATCAAGCCAATCATGTCTTTCAGCAAGTTGCATTTGCACCTAGACATTATGATAATATTCAAGAAGTTCAGACTCATCAACATTTACAAAAAAAAATAGAATATAATTAACTTATAGGGTATTTTAAAAAAGCTTTAAGCTATTTACTAAAAGACAATAATCAGAGTGGTTTAGATGATGATATATTAGCATATATTTTTGAAAAAAGAGGCAAAGCTAAATAATGAGATGCAATTAGAAAGAGCGAATGTTCTTAATGAAGATATGAATTTAAATAATATAATAAAGTTGCCAGATAGTCCCATTTACAATATAGATAATATTAAAGATCCAACAAAACATAAGGGTAAAGGTAGGCCTGCTGGTAAATAAATTGAGGCTTATAATAAGAAAATAAAAAGTAATAATGTTATTCTTTTTTTTTTTTTTTTTTTTTTTTAATTCCTATTTTTCTTAAAAGTGTTTAAAATTTTTTTGTTAATAGATTAAAGTAAAAAAAAAAATATTAAAAACGTTGATAAAATTTGTAATAGCTTAAATAAACATGTTATTATTACACAAACTTTTTACTACAAATTGTTTACAATTATTAATACTGAAGTTAAATCAGTTGTTATTACATAGGTAAAATCTGTTTACAGTATATAAAATTTTAAATCATTAGTGCATGACTTAAAACTAACAATTTATAATTTATTTCTTAGACTTCTTATCAGGGGTGTGACTATAGTGATTCGGTCATAAAGTATTCTTATATATATAAGTGCTGTGACCAATAACTTCCAAGTTATGTCCTTTAAATATTTTTAACTAATAAACTATTCATGGTTATACTCTAGATAGAACTATTTAGCCTAGTCTATACCAGTGTAATTTAAATAACACCATATCAGGTATAGTAGATGGCATAAAGAAGAGTATTAATTTATTTAAATTTTCAATTTGCTTTTGCCAAAATAAATAAAATGATTTAATTTTGTTCTGAAATTTTAATTCCAGTAGTCAACTTTTTTAATTAATGAATTTTGCGGTTTTGCACATTTTTATACAGAACATAATAACTTTTTTTAAAATTACTTAATCAATAAAAAGTTGTATTAACTAAAATAATATAAAAGCTTAAAAATAGCAATAAAGTATTGTTTATTTCAAATCACAGTAATCAGAAAATTTAGTATATGTATCACACAACATGAGTTTGGGAATGAGAAACCTTTAAAATACAATTTTTAAAGAGCCAAAAATTATTATAATGATCGATTTTATTGTGCACATTAATGTTCTGATGTTGGTCATGTTTTTTTCAATTTTTATTTTTTTACTAATATGTAGAAATTGAAAATAGCTTTTAACTGTTAATACCAAAAATGTTTAGTGCATTATCAAGATAATTTTATGGTGAAAAGTGTTACCTGGTTAGACAATTACAAAATTTATTACATCGGGAAATTTTTTTTAGTGCAGTTCTGTAAATTTTTGCAAAAAAATCAAATAATAAATCAAATGAAAATCTGTACAATACTTCAAACCTGGTAGCTATAAATGCAATTTCTGCACAAAACTTCGATTTCAAATTCAAAAAAATTTTGCAGGTTTTTTCATAAAAAAAATACAGATAAAATGAAGAAAAATTTTATATATAGCCATGGCTACATGTAGCCGCACCCTAATAACTCAAAAGTTTACTAGGGCACCCTGTTGTGTAACTAAGTAAAAAATGCACCTCTTGCAATTTACCTTACCGCAATAACCATAATGTTAATATGGCAGCAAATTTTTTTTATAAAAAAACTATATTGATAGTATAGCCTATAGCTACAAATAAATTAATTCAAAACGGAATTAAAAAAAAAATTAAAAATGAATTTTAAAAAAAATTAAAATACAAACTAGAAAAAAAAAATAAATAAATAAAGAATTAAAAAATTATTATAAAGATTTTTTTTTTAAAAAAAAGAATTAAAAAATACGAATTAAAAAAAAATAATTTAAACAAATTTTTTTTAAAAAAAATTAAAGTTGAATTAAAAAAAAAAAAAAACAAAAATAAATTAATAAAAAATTAAAATTGAATTAAAAAAAAAAAAAATTAAAATTGAATTAAAAAAAATCAAGATTGAATTAAAAAAAAATTAAAATTGAATTTAAAAAAATGGAAATACGAACTAGAAAAAAAATAAAAATAAATAAAGAATTAAAAGAATTATCATAAAAGATTTTTTTAAAAAAAAAAGAATTGAAAAATACGAACTAGAAAAAATAGGAATTAAAAAAAAAAAAAAAACAAAAAAAATAAATACACAGAAATATAGAAAAAAAAAACAATTGAAAATTAAAAAAGTGATGTTCCCTTACGTTATCTTGCGGGAAAATTCACTTGCCAATTATTATTTCTAAACAAAGCCTTTATATTGAGCAAATTCTGACCTGTAAACTCTTAATTCTTGGTCGGAATCGATAAAATTTCATGTAACAAAGCTACTAAATAACGAGGGGTATGAAAATTTACTATAACAAGCATTGTTATGAAAAATTTTTCTATATATTTTAGTTAGTATATTTCCTGAATGATAGTATTTACTTTTTTCGGTAAATCAAAAAGTACTTTCTGTACGTATAGTAGTTAGGAGACTACGAATAATGGTTTGAGACCGCAAATCTTGGTTCAAGACCACCGATATTGGTTTGGAACCCAGGATCACCACGACAATTAGAAATGTACGTATAAATATGGGCTAAGATAATAAAGAGAACACTCTTTCTACTCTGACTTGAAATAATTAAATACAGTACGTACCCTATATAGTAACTACCAATTTAAATAAAACGATACCTGTTAAATTCTTAATTAAGTGTGTCGTCGACTCGTATTATCCAACTTTGTACGTATGTACGTATATACGTATGTACGTACATAGAATTTCATTCCAGATTGACCGCATAACCCAAATACAAGATAGATCGACAACCTTAAACTTTACGGCACATAATGTGAGTTGTGATACTCAATAGTGATGCAAAATCCTGTAAAATGATTTAAATGTAAATTCGGATTTTGTAAACTTCTCATAGTTGTAAGCAAAATGAAGGTTTACAATAGCTTGTTTAATAACAAAGTCAACTAAGTTAGACCCTATGGCCTTGGATACAATTATCACATGGGATAGGGTTAAAAAGAATGAACATAAGGCATTTATTTATTACCAAAAAATCAGTAGATATAGGGAATGTTAATGAAATATTTATGTGTTGGCTATTGCTATCGAAATAGAATTGGAAATGAAAAGGATGAACATAAAGCGTTCATTTATTATCGAAAATCTGCTAATATGGGTAATGACAATTATTTCGTTTTCATCATTGATGAATGTTGTATCATCATCAGGCATCATTACAAGTGGCTCTCGATGTAAGAAAAACTAATTAAAATTTGATATAAGAAAGTTTAACTAATAAATCTCAATATAAGAAAGTATTACTATTTACCTTTCTTATATCGAGATCTATTTGTATATAGTCAATTGGCTTTAAACTATGTAATCAAAAATGTATATATTATGGCTTTCTTTGATTCTTTTGTCTTGCCACCTCTCGCTACATAAAAATTTTCTCAAAACATCGAAGTTTCTCATATATTTTATTGAATCAATAACATAATATTTCCATATTAGTTTACGCTTTCTTTAAAAATTATATCGGTAATCCCATCCCAACTTATTGTATAAGAAAATTTTAAAATCCAAACCTTTTCTTGTTCACGACCTAAAATAATTTAGTGTCGTCTCTTCCCTAGTCGTAACACTAATTTTTACATACTGTAGGTACGTACATTATTTGGCCATATTTATTGGAATAATTTATATGTAACGGATGCGTGTTAATTCGGAACTCACATTTTAGCTATAAAGAACATAATCCTAGATTCGAGACAAAATTTAATCGGTGTAATCTTAGTTTTAAAAAAAAAAATTATTCATCATGTCAAATGCTCGTGAAATAGACCTTCTTAATGCAGCATTCACAGCTATGATGCCGGGCTACACTTTTGTGACAGAAAAAGAATATCGCGAAAGACAAAATTCACTTATTAGGCTAGAAGAACAAAACTCACTTCTTAGACTAGAGGAACAAAACTCATTTATTATATTAGGATGCACTGTTTTTCAACCTGTTGACTTGTATGCATTTCACCAATGCATACTTGCTGGTGGTTATGTCGATAATGGGATTGACAAAGAGAACGAATTATCAATGACACCAAAATCATTCGGCATACTGACTCTTAGTAATAATGTTACCATACAAATATTTGTGAAAATGCTTGATGGCAGGAGTATCACAATTGAATGCAGACACAATGATACTATAGACAAAGTAAAAGAAAAAATTCAAGATAAAGAAGGTATCCCATCCAATCAACAACGACTTATCTATGCTGGTAGAACATTGGAGAGAGGAAAAACACTTATCGACTATGATATTACTAGAGGATGTACATTACATTTAACCTTAAACCTTTATGGTGGTGGAAATATTATAAGTTATTTGAGTACAAATTTTTTAGCTCCGAAGTACAATTTCGATTTTACAAATATTGATGATAAAGACCAAGTATATACTCGTGGAGGAGTTCAGTATCAAAGACCATGTGGATGGCAACGCTTTGCTTTAAGAGTTACTGGAAAATATGATAATGATAATTATGGATGGCTTGGTACAGATGCAAATGCTTGGCCGGTATCTTATCATGGTACTAGTAAAAATAACTCGAAATCAATTGCTGAACAAGGATATTTATTGAGTAAAGGGAGACGATTTAAGCATGGATATGGTATTTATTCAACACCTGAAATTAATATCGCTAAATTATATGCTAAAAAATTTGAATTTTGTGGAGATAATTTTTTGGTAGTGATACAGAATCGAGTGAATCCCAAGGATTTGCAGAAAATTCCGAAAGATATAACTCAAGTCGGTGAATATTGGATTTCCGAGAAAGGCGAAGATATTAGGCCATATGGAATTTGTATTAAAAAATTATTGTAAAGATTATATTTAAGATAACATAGTGATTTACTAGAGGTTGAAAAATTAAACCTAGGTTGTAACTTTTTGGTCATCATATAGAGACATGAATTTAAGGTGGCAAACATATATTGATGTTTATTTGTAACAAGAACGTTTATATTAACATATTTATTATACAAAATTTTCATTAACGTTTACATTTTCTTTTCCGTCTTCAATCTATTAACAAAAAAAATTTAATAAGAAAAATGAACGTGTTATCGAATGAGTGCATTTTCGAAATCTTTAATAATCTTCGAATTAACTACAAAAGTCTACTTCCATATCTTCTCTTAAACCGTCTTTGGTGCACAATTATTGCACCGACATTATAATTAAACACTGGCTCATACTTTAGATAATGGATTTACAAGTGAATCTCGAATTTCAATTTCAGTCAATGATAAATTAAACTTTAAACATATTTATACCATGAATTCTTAATTATAAACCTTTGAATTATGAAGCAATTTAAATGCAACGGGTTGTACATAAAAGATCTCAAATTTTCCAGACAGCAGATATACTTCACCTTTCTCTATAGTTTTAATATTTTCAAATTCATTATATCAAGATAATGTATATTTGTTCTTAACTAATAATTTTTCGAATAGATAAATTATTATATTCATTATATGTGAAATTTTGTTTCTATTCTTTAACGATTATTTAATTACATTTATTAAAAAGGAAAATATTTAAGAGGTGATTCGTTTTTGAAACAGTAAAAAATACCAAATCTTATCTCTTAATGTGTTATGCAGACAAATTTGCCCGCAAAATTTATTTTTTTGCGCAATTGCTAAAAAAAAGTAGATAGGAATGATCCCCCTAAATAATATTTAAATTAATTCAGTTAGCTTTATACAATACTTTGACAAAGTATTTATTTTAAAAATTTGGCATATTAAAAATTTTTACTAACTAAAGATTATATTTTCGTCTATATATAACATTATATTAAAAATATTAAAAATATTTAACAGTAAATAACTCTTGATCCGCTGATCCGTTTTGAACCATTTAACTATCAAAATAATCGTCTAAATGAGACAGTATTCTGAGAAAATGGATTAGTAGATCAAAACTTATTCAATGTTGAAACTTTTCAATATATTAATAATAATTTCAATATATAAATATAATACTTTTTAGACAATTTTTTTGAAAAATGTTAATTTTTTATTTTAGTAAAACTTAAAATAAAAGGTTTAATAATAATTTGAGGGATCAAATATGTTAAAAAAAAATTTAAATTTAAACCTTTAATTATTTTTAATTTATAAAAATAGATTAATTTTAACTTTGTATAAATTTACAAATATATAGTTATTTATTATAATTTATCATTTAAAAACAAAATATAAATCTAAAAGAATATTATATTAAAAATTAAATAAAATTTTATAAAATTTTTTTTTTTAAAAATAATATATAACTTTTTGTAGGAAAATTTGCCTGCACCTACCCTACACGTTAATACAGTAGATAATAAACAAAAACGGAATTTAATATCTGGTATCACTCAATAATTTTTGCAATTGTTACTCTAATTTCGTTATGATACGTAATAACTCCATACCTCTGCTCGAGACCAACTACGAGAATTAAATTTTTTTTATTAACTGAAAAAACTGAACAATCATTAACATGGCTTGTAGCAATTGGGTTATTATTAATATTATTTGACATCGTGATAAAGAAATGTTAAATTATTTGTTTTGACGTTAGTTCTATTTTATGTAGTTTGACTTTTGCATCATTCGATAGTTTAATTTTTAATTAATATTATTTTTTATTTTAAATTACGTATAACCAGTTATATCGTTTTTATTTTAACAGCTTTAGCTACGATAAATGTTAAAATCAATTTTACCAAGTGATAAACCCTGCCTATAAAACTTTAAATTAGCATCATTAATTATGACCTTGTTTACCTTATAATATTTTAGGTCTTTACGCAAATATAAATTTTTTCAATCTATTTATTTAATTTATATTGGTAAAATTTTAATCGTGTCCGGAATAAAACAAATCTAATTGGTCAATTAAGGCTACCTGACGATCATTGAATGCTACCAAGGGAAAACCTGAATTTTGTTTTCTAATTCTAAAAGCGGAGCTTCCGAAAATTAAGAATTCTAGGTTTTCTCTTGGCAGAATTTATTTGGTACTTTTTTAGTTCGAGTTAGCGTACTATATTTAGTAATGAATGTCTCAGACCAAGGATTGAGATTATTATATACAGATAGTTAATAAAAAATACTTAAAAATACAGTATGTAACAACTTATCGTGACTAATTTATAGTAATAGATAGATCTTCGAAACTAATAAATTTCGGTTTTTGATCTCATAGCGGTCAGTTTAGGTTCAAATTACGGTCCTAACTGATAAAATCACTTTATATATATATATTTTTCTATATAATAATGAGTAGTAATGAAAATTTTATTGATTTCATTTTTCAGTATTTTTCAAAACGTTAGGACATACAGAAATATTAATATGAGTGATCTTTTAATTAATAAATGTTTTATATAATGTTCTGTCTGTTACTTTAACAGATTAAAATTGGCCAATTTTAGGTTCTGTA